TTACACAAATTATAAAACACAATTTAAACCTCTTCTGCCAACAAATTATACATAATTTAAACTTGATAAGTTAAACAGAAGATGAAAACTAACTTCCTTTTTTTTTTTTTTCAATCCAGGAAAACATAAACTTATTGTCAAATGAGAAAGAACGCTCCTTTGCATCATTGTATTAATGGGCCGGATGGTCCAGTAAGGCAACTTATATTGTGGGCTAATGGGCTGAAATTTATTGGGCCGATTAACATCACTTGACCCAAATTAGGCTTCATTTAAGATGTGTGCGTCTACCAAAAAAAAGGGGCAAAAAATATCTTTCAATACACGCACGCATGTATATTGTCTGAGGATTTATATAGCGAAAATCTCACCCAAAAAAAAAACCACTTGAATTGTAAAATTTCAAATCAAGAATTCCTACAAAAAAATTGTTGTTATTTGTGATATTTTTCTATTTACACGTATTAGACCCAAAAAAAGGAGATGTGGGGAAGGGTCCAATGAAAAAATAATAATACAGAGTGAAAGTGGCCAAATGGGTATGTATGAGTCTTTTGCCCCCCCAATCAATTTTCTCTCTCTTATAGCTTCAAACTCCATACAAAATTATAATCAAGTCTAAAAAAATTAATTGCTCATCTCCATGTGAGGAAAAAATTAAGACAACAACTCTTTTAGTTTAAATGATGCGCATACTTAAAAAATAAAAAGACTAATTGACGTCATTTCAAAAAAAAGAAATAAGGGTAATTGTAACTAAAAACAATTCAAGTCAATCTTTTGTTTTTCACTTAACCTAACTATTGAACTAAAAACTCATTTGTCTCTACCATAAATCCAAGCTTTTTTCCCCATCTAAAAAAGCCATGCCAAATAATTTACTCTAATACATGAAAAATATATGATAATTCCCCGTCAATTTTGTATAAGTTTAGCGGGTGTGTGTGTGTGTGTAGTACACAAATATAAGATGAGGATGAAAAGAGTAAAGCTCGTGCAGCAAGTAACTAATGTGGACATGTTCCAAACTGCGCCTTCCACATTACACATAGACACACACATATATAACCTATATATATATATCTATATATGTAACCATATATATGTTCCAAACTGCGTATTCTCACACATTAAGGTCCCAAATTGGACGATTATTATATATAGAGAGAGAGGAGATGGCAACGGAGATTTAATTAGGAATCATCTTGTGGCGAGGCCTATAGAAATTTGGGGATGGATCGTATCTTCCATAATCTCCCCAGAGAAGCCTTTCGTGGTTGACTGCTATTTCTTCTTTGTTCTTCCATCTTCCCTGCCACGTCAAATATATGTGTGCAGATATGAATACAGATATTAACATATTCCTCAAAGTAAAAAAAGGAAAAGGGCAGTGTGTGTGTGTGTGTGTGTGTGTGTGTTGATAAATACAGCAAACTTCACCACTATACCTTGAAATGTCTTCATGAATTACGCACGGCACAGGAACTTCAAAATTATACCACTCTTGAGTTCTATATATATAATCTTTCATACAAAGTGCATTATGCTAGAACTAAAAATAATTGAGAAGCCAAGTGTTTCTATAGCCTTTCAAAAATGAAAGCTATGTATATACGTCGTATGCACATATTAATAAAAAGAGAAAGCATTAAGGTGATGAGACAAAACTGAGCCAAAGGAATTGCAACTATATATAATATATAGTTATCAGACATACATACCTCTTCGACATGATATTCTGCATCCGACTTACTGACAAACTTGGATCCTCTTCCTGCAATTTTAATGCATTAAGCTCACCCACGCAGGCCTCTCTCCCTCTCTCTCTCTCATACACAAACATGGTCAAAAACTATAATTAAGCAAAAGAAGGAATATGATGAAGCAATAAAAAACTCATAAATTTTCCGCAAGCCAAGTAAAGCTAACCAAAGCTTAATTAATATGCACGTATATGCATTCGATAAGGTAAAATTCCACATTGTTTGTATCAGTTATGAGGAATTTTTGTTTGACTTGTATATATATATCCACCTTGCTTTTAGCAGTGCAAGCATGTGTGTGAGAATGGGATCGTCAGAGGCTGATCAGAACCAAAAGCTGCAAATTGAAAGAAAGATACGAACCTGCAAAAGTAGTAGTGGAGAAAAGTGATGCAGAAATGAGGAGGAAGAAGAAAAAGCTGAACTTGTTGATGGTGATCAGAGGCATCATATTGAGAGGCATGAAATGGAATAAAGCTCTGAAACGAGAGAAGCAGAAGAGTGATCAGTGGATAGATGGATGTTTCGTATGTATAATATTTCCCAAAGGGAAGCAAACCCCAAAGGGAGGGCTTTGAAATCGACACAATGACACTTGTGCAAGCTGTTTAGTGCAATTTACTAATAAATTAAGCCACAGGGAAAAGGTAAAGGAAAGCACTTTGCTTTTGTTTTGGGGCACTAATGAAAGTACTGTTTTTAAGGTAGTGGGTTGATATATAAAATGCTTGAGCTTTGACCTTTCTGCAAATTATTGGGCTACTCCTTCATTATGCTTTACAACAAATCTTATTCTCTCATTTACCCAAATTACAGAAAAAGAAGCCCTGTTAGTTTTATTTTTGGCATGCCATTAATTTACCGATATTAATATCATCAAAATAAAATATATAAAAATTGAAGAGGGCCAAATTGTTATTGTTTCATATGTCATAATTAAGCAGTATAATTTATAACTTATGTTAGACGCTCTGCATGCATGGGAAAACACAATACTTTTCCATCAACACACACACACACACACACACTAGCATCATAGGGTCAAAACAATTCATTTATTTTGAAACTAGAAATATTACAATAATATTATTCAAATATAGATAGTAGGTATTAAAATTAATTCAGTTAGATATTTATTTATCTCAATAATTAATAGTTAAGAAATCATATTTGTAACAGTTTTTTCCGGTGATTTAACTTAGAATAGAAGAAACATATACTCTTGCATACTTGCTAAAGACTCAAAAAGATATCATAACTGGAGAGTAAATTAATCTCTCACTCTTTCAATCATATGCTTAACTTAGACAGCAACTTTTATCATTATGACCAAAATGCACACGAATCTCTTCCAAGTTAAAATATGACGAATACACTCTCAAAGATGATACCAATTTCCATTATTTTCTGCAAAATGTAAAGCATTTTTTTTTTGCCTACAAAAATGTAAAGCACCATTAAAAGCATCTTGCGCACTTTATTTTCATGTTCACAGAACTATTCAAATATTTAGTACTCATATGATTATATAAACAACAAATTGAATTCTATTTTAATCAAAACAAATATAACTGCAATTTATCAATTGATATATATACAATAAAATCATAAAATGTATAGCGTGTTGCACTATTCACAAATCATGAATATCAAGGCTTAATCTTTTGAACTTTGTGCAATGTATGGAAGAATATTTCCAGTCGTTTTTTCCCCCCAAAAAGTCGTAGTGCATGTTTCGATAAGTACTGTAGTCTTAAGATAATGGAGGATCATCTAATATAATTTAGAAATATTTTCTTAAAAGAGGTGATCATAGAATACAAAATTCTTTTATTATAACGAGTAAGGAGACCAGTTTTTATAATAATTATGAGCCAAATTAAAAAGGGTGTGGAAAGAAAACTAGGAAGCATGCCTAGCTATGCATAAAAGATTAATAAATGAGGCTGGAAATGAGGGATTAGGTTGGCATAATAAAATAATTAAATGTGGAAGACAAAGTGCTTTCAATATGATCCTAAACGACAAGAACGAAGCACCAAATACCACTCTGGTGGAGAATAAAGGGATGCTATGTGATAACATTAAAACACACACAAACACGGTCTTCTTATCTTCTCCGTTTCTTTTTCCCTCAAAAGTAGTCTCTAAGGCTAGCATGCTTATCATTTTCTTGCAGCCTCCCTAATTCAAACATTATCATCTTAGCCTTTAAAAATTGCTCAACTCTCAACGCTAACCAAAAGGGTTGGTAATTTAGCATTGCCCATGTTGTGAGGAAGCACTTTGTTACTCATATATTATCTCTGATTTTAATCATAAGACTTTATTTATAAACTATAAACGAGATTTTATAATTAAGGCTGAAGGTAGTATATAATGTAAGGTTAACTGTATAATATAAAAGGTTTTGCTAATAGTGGACTCTATAATGTTGCATGCATGCTTCTAGAACAGTTAAATATCAAATTGTAGGGTGGGATGATTTGTCATCATAGCATAATAAAGCGTTAGTAATGTGGGTGAGAGTGCTCTTTTGCCATCATCACTAGTATTGCATATAGCGGACCTTTCTTATTTTTAAGTCGGGATGAATTTTATTTTATACCACTTCACTGAGATTTTCGCGAGATTTCAAATCACACTGTTATTTTAATTGCGTTTTATTTTTTCTTAAAAAGTTAATATTGAAAGAAGAATTAAATTGGGAAAATTCCAATTAAATCCATTTGAAATAGCAAAATTCTAATTTAAGCCTACACTTTTAACAAATTCTTAATTAGGCCAAGAGGCCTAATTGGGGATTTCTAAATGTTGTTAAAAGACCAAAATGCCCTTCATAATTAAAAAGCCTAATTTTAGTTTTAATTCTTTTAATTGAATTTAACTAACATGTTTTTCTTTAAACATTATCACATGAAAATTTGGCCAAAAACATTATAATATAAAAAAAAGAAAAATCACGATTATAGCCAATAAAAAAAATTGAAACTAAGAAAGACCACGTCCTCATTAGTAAATCTACTAGAATAATTAAAACTAAAATTAGATTTACACCTACATATTCAATTTTCCTTTTTTATTACAAAGAGGCATTCCAGTCTTTCAGCAACATTTGAAAATCCCTAATTAGACCTCTTAGCCTAATTAGGAATTCATTAAAAGTATAAGCCTTAATTAGAATTTCATTATTTCAGATAGATTTAATTGGGATTTTTCCAATTAAATTTGAGTAAGGCTTGCGTTGTTAATGATCAATGTCCAATAATTAGATTAGTTCACCCCCGTTATGCCCACTTAAGAATTCCCGTCTAAATGTATCTCACTTTAATTGAAAGTTCTATTGAGAGTCCAGACTAATTTAGATGGAACCTAGTAAAGTCACAAAAGATAGCAAAGCTTTACCTCCAGGTTTTTAACATTACTACATTCTCAGAACTCAAATTAAAAGCCTCCAATTAAACTAGTAAAATCCCACAATTAGTGATGATCTGATAGCGTACGGGATGAGTAGGGTAGTAAATAATGCATAGTGCAAGTCCTTGACACCCAATCATCCAATTGAATGTATTTTTTAAAGTGATATGGTCGGTATTACCTACCTCAGAAAAATTGTTTATTAATAATATGAAATAAAAAGTAGCCCTTCAATAATGTAAAGTTACATGCTAAGATATAAGAATATCAATACCAACATATATAAAATATTCAAAAAGAGTCTCACTATTATTTACCTTAGGCTTCATACAATGCACGGGGCCCACATCTAGTGTAACCCTAAAAATAAAACGACACTTAATTCTAGTCCAATCTACAAGTCAAATCGCATACCAGGCTCCCCCGCGACCGCTCAGGAACTAAATAAATCCAACAAACTCTGATACAGGACTGTGATGACCCAAAAAAGAAAAAAATTTACATGCCATGCACATATACTAATAGCGTAAGAAATAAATCAACTCAACACAAAACACTATATTGAACACAATGAACATGAAGCACCATTCCCATTATCTCCACAAAGCACCAAAGTGACTATGATGATGAACCTGCATCTCCAGTTCCGGCACTTTCATGGCGGAGACTGTTTTCTCTACTGTAAGGAGCCTTAGCACCCTGAAGTGAAAATGAAGCACCCTTAATTATATATAAACAAGATAACGAAGCTGATTATTGAAATGACTGATCCAAGCTCAATTAGAACACTCTTCTTGCAGAGTCGCACAAGTCACTGTAAACTCGTAAAGGCAATATTGCAAATCATCACATAAAACTTACTTGGAAGACAGCTCCTAACTTCTTCAAGGCTTTAGCCCGTTGTTTCAACACGTCTCTGGACACGCTAGGATCTTTAAGAACCTGAGAACAATAACAGGTGCGAGAATGGTCTTTGTGAAATCTTGCAAGTAATTGATGCCTTAAAATAAGTAACTGTTAGCACAATGTTTACACTTCGGCTGAAATGTAACTAGCGATTACCAGCACTCAATACACTCAATATACTTAATCAAATCACTAACATTATGATTGCTTGATCGTTTAGGGCTATTAACCTCAACACTAAAAAAGAGTGCACAAGTGCCTATATGATGAATTCCTGCACCTTTGTTCTTTCAGCATCATCTTCTGGTAGGTTGATAAATGAATGATGTGCAATGAGTTTTTAGTTTAATCATTCTGAACCTAATAATGTGAGTTTGACAACAAAGATATAGCACATGTTGGGCCCAGCAAGCGAAGACATGCTTGAAATATTTCACTTTTGCAACATGCAACTTTTCTGGAAGTCATTAGCCAGCAGACAAATATAACATTCTCAAGCGACAGAAAGCTTCAAACTAACACTTACAGCCTGGCAAACATGTGACAGAGTTGTTTCGATATCAACCACATTGATCTGCCAAAGGGAATTAATCATAGCATCCTTCTTATCTTCCATAGCTTTTAGTATATTTTCTTCTTTGTTTTCTCCATCATCTAGCTTCTTCTTCAGCTCATCTTGTATTTGAATTAAGGACACGGCGCCTACAAACAGAGCTCAAATTCATTAAAACCTCCACAAATATTTGAAAAGACCTAGATACTTTTCACTGGGTAGGATATCCAGATGTTAATTAATCTATTACCTGAAGCTGCCATCACTTGTGACTTTATCATATGTCCTTTACCTCTAACCCACTCTGCCAAAAAAGGGACTTTCATATACCTCATGTCCTTTCCCAGCTCTTTTGCAGCCTTTCGTGTGTAGATATAGCCAATTGTATGCAGCATGGCCTCGCCAAAAGCTGAACATGAGCTATAAGTTAAATAAAAATACCAGATAAAGGAACTCTAAGCATAATTTTTAGAGCAGGGCTCTAATATCATGAAAATTTTCAGAGATCTTCATCATCAATGAAAATTATATCTCATGGTAGCAAGCCGTGCAAATATTTAATGGATGATGGCCACTAAGCCAGCAATTCAATCCCAAGAATCTACGAGCAAACATGGACAGATAAAGTTGACTAAAAATTTGTTAATAACAGGTTCAAATCATAACAAATATCATCAGCGACAGCAAATATCCTGTGATTCCCAGTTTCAGATAAGCATGCATTGGAGCATGGATACAAAGAAGTATTTATAAGATTTATATAAACTTTCCAAATTGACAGATCGTCCTAGAAAAAGGGCCATTGGTTGAATTGAAGTGTAAATGGGAAGAACTCACCAGCTTGAGAAAGACGGCGTGCTTCTGAATTTGCCCATTTTGTGAACTCATCTACTTGACCATCGACAAATGGTTGCAGGCGATCTTTCAAAGTTGCAATGAGCTTTTCTTCCCTTTCCTTCTGCCATTTCTATGGCGACAAAAGTAGGAACAGCTTCAGCTACTAGAAGATGGGAAGAACAGAGTGCGGAAACAGGGAGTGAGGAACTCAATTAAAGCACTAGGGAAAAGACATGTACTTTCATCTTTTCTTGAATTATTTGCCTACGAGTTTCAGGATCATGTGTGTCTTCCTCAACTTCTATAGATGCCAGAGAAGCCAGTGCAAGTTCTCCAACATATTCTTCAAAATACTCACTTCCAAAAAGCATTCCAAATACAGCTGCAGGATCAATCATGCAATCTCTGCACAGAATAATAGTAATAAGACGAAGAAGTAAGCTTATTATTATACTTGTTTTCTTTGTTGACAAAGAAATTTAAAACCAAATGTTGCACACTGAGTTTCATTTAAAAGAATTCAAAAGAAAATTATCATTAGCAGTTAGTAAAACTCCTGGACATTAGGTCTTCGCCAAAATTTTAAAATTTTACTGCAGCTACTTGGACATAACGATATTAAATTATATTTCAGCCCTCAGCAAACTGCTCTTAACCTAAACAGCCCTCATACTGAAAATACCCAGTTAATTTTCTTTCTTATATAAAAGCTAGAACAAAAGTAAGCATCATCAGATCAATTTGTTACAAATACTATTTCGCAACAGAAGAAAACAATGAGAAAAGGAAGTGTCACTGAAGAAGATGAAACAAATAATTAAAAAGTTTCATTTTGAATACATGGATTTCAGCTTCAAGCTGCAAAGACAGAACTTCAGCAAACGATAAGATACTCACAAACTTTGATTATTTTTCAATTATAGATGGTTGTATAAACTTACTGTGGCACTCCTGCCTTTCCATTCTTATCATATGCTTCACGCTTCTCAGGATCACTCAAAACCTGGTAAGCCTCACCAAGTACCTGAGCATGGATACCACATTTTAAAATATATTGAGGGGGTGGAGGAATGGGGTTGAAAGATAGAAGAGATCATAAGGCTTGTGGAAGAAAACTGGTGATGAAATAAGTTAAACATTCCTGTTTATAGGTCTTGAGCTACCAATCAATCCAACCCATGGAAGAAAAAAATCGTTACTTACATAAAATTTGAACAAAAAACACTATAGAATTCCTTCTAACCCCACAAAAAGTGTACTCTTTTGAAAAGGGGAAAAATTGCCTTCCCACTGCAGGGCAGAACTTTACCAAATCTAGTAGTAACAATCACCAAATCATAACTGTTTCACATAATATATGTAGTAACAATATACTCAGAACGTTATCCTTAAGTAAATAGTTTTGTTAATAACCATCAGTGCCATCGAATCTCTAAGAAGCGAAAAGTCTGTGCATAAGATGCATTCATTAACATACCTGAAAATTTTCTGCAGCCTTAGGATCTCCAGGATTTTTATCTGGATGTACTACCCTTGCCTGCAAAGACAATAAAATGGAAACAAAAGGTTCTAATGACGCAAAGACACAGTGCTTATGTTAAAATAATAGTGATAATGATAATAATAATGGGAAAAGATGAAGGGAACCAACAGGATAAAGATGGTATTTCTACACACTCAAACTAAAATTAAGAACAAAAGACCCTTTTTCGTCTTTTACTTGTCTTCAGCTGACCAAAGTTCATGCTCCCAACATGGAAAATAACTAGACGTTCCAAGGAGAATGCATCAGAAGGTGACTAGCTGACTGATAGTCTGGATCAGAAGCGCACAGCAAGCTACCATCTAATGGATGCATTTACAGGAAGAATAAGAGGACTAGACAAGATCATAAGCTCATTATTTGCGCATTATATTGAGCTCAGAATTCTCATATAACTCGATCTAAAAGAAATTGTAAAAGTCAAATAACTGAACAAAAACCGCATAATTTAACTATTTGAGAGTCTCCGTTTAATGAAAGAACTGAATATGATTGTCCAGCTGCTTCCATAATACACTACATTACTTGCGCACATGGACCATATCGGGTAAAATTAGAAGCCTGTTCAAATCTCAATTCTGTACTCATATATACTTTCAAAAATACACAAAACACGATTAAAATTATTACCTTCACGTAGTAGGCCTTCTTGATCTCTGCAGGGGATGCGTCAACCTTAACGCCTAATACGTCGTAGTATGTGGTGTCTTTCACCATAGCTTGATTTGATATTTGAATCGCGATTCACAGGTCTTATAAGCGAATGAGGAAAACACACTCAATCAGATAGAACCATGGTTTCATAATCATACAGTACTATTTTAATCGTTATATAACAAAGACATTAGCAGTTGAGCAGGACCAAAGCTGAAGACAAATTATCAACAAAGTAAAAATTAACCCCAAAAAAAATCGACAAGACGTTGAGAAAGAAAGAGACATGCCGATTATAGCGAAGAGGGAGAGCAAATCACACTGAACGCAAAGCTCCTGGTGGAGATGGTGATAATTCTCTCTTTGTTTGTGTTCAAGCAAATTACAAAGCAGCGGGTAGACAAACGACGGAACGAGATTGGAATGGTAGATCCGTTTGCAGAGGAAACGGCGCCGTTTTCAAATATGGCCGTAAAGGAAACTTCTATTCTTGGCGCTTTTTTTCCTTTTTTTCACCTAAAATTCCCGGGCAACATTCTCTTTTTTGAGTTTTTTCCCCTTCAATATGAGTGACAGTGACATATGTATCTCTGATCTTTAATTGTTTAAATTTTATTTTGGTTATAATTATAAGATCTTAATATATTTTGTTTCTCCTATTTATGTATTTTTTTCAAAATAGTCTTTCTAATAATAGTCATTCTAGCTAACACACTTGATTAACAAGGATATTTTAGAAAATACAATACTTATTTATTAATCTCCTCAAATTTATCAACTAATTCTTATAATTTGGATATAAATAATTACTAACATATTGAGGATTCTTTTCACAGAAGCCTGCACCAAGCCGGATGGATCTTCGCAAAATAAAAAATATATGTTTTGACGGGAACAAAAAAAGATTATACTGCTTACAAGTTACGAGGAATGTTAGAAATTTTAGTTATTTATATAAGATATAAATTTCGTATTGAGTATTGATAATATTGATATTAATAGGGGCGTAACTTAGTACAATATATTTTTCAAAAAATGGACGACACTGGTCAATTTCTGGACACGTTATGTTCATGTGACGGACACATGGTTACAGCGGAGGCGTGAAATGACTGTCTGTTAGAGCGCGTACACGAGTCAGAAGACAACCCGCATTATTTGGTTAGACAAGTTAAGCAAAGTCGAGGAAATCAGACTGGAGTAAGCAGGTTCACATATTGTTCTGCATTACTGCATTAGGAGTATAATGACATAAAGGAAGTGCTTTGTGAAATAAAATATTTTTTGTCAGTTGTGTGAAAAATAGATTATATATATTTTTTGTTAGCTCAGCTGACAATTTTTTTTTTTGCTAGATATAGATATCTTCTTGTTGTAGGAAGTTATATTCGAAGTATAGTCAGATACTAAATATAAACGTATTTTTTAATAAGAATTTGAATTTCGATTCATTATATTAATTAACCCCTTCGGCATTGGTCGCTGACAAATAATACATTTAGGTTGGATGTAAAAGGGCCGTTGGTAGGCTTCAATCAATATCCAGTTCAGCCCATTACTGGCTAATCCCAAGGATAGTAATATATAAGGCTGAAAGCCCATAAAATTTTGGAAAAATGACAATAAAATACCACTTGAATTCCAAAAAGATAAATAAGGGACCTGAATAAGCAAAATGACATATAGGGGACTGGGTACCAATCTGGAATTCATATTTTTAGCCAAAAGACCAAAATGCCCTGTCTGAAAGTGAGAGAAAGGAGAGAAGAAGAAAGCGACGCAGTGAGAGAAAGGAGAGAGGAAGACCGACGGTAATGAAATGTGGGAAGAAGGAAAGAAGAATGTTGGAAATGCTATTATCTTACTCCTTCGCATCACCATTCTGTAGAGATTGTTGATTTGGTGGGTTTTGGTTGTGGGAAAGAGGATTTGTAGTGAGAGAGGGAGTGAACCTGCGGGGAAGATGAAGTGGAAATCAGAAAACAATGACAAGCAATTACGTTACGTAACTGCTGTCATATGCCTGCTGGTTTTTGGTAAATCCCACTACGTGAATGGTAAATCCCACTATGTGAATGGTAAATTTTACTATACATGTAGTTAATTATGAATTTTACAAAATACATATTGTGATTTACAACTTTTGTAGTGAAAGTGACTACTTTGTTAATGGGTTTTGCAACCTGTTTTCAGGAGATAAATAACTTGTTTGTAAAAACTAATAAAATTTCACGCTAAATTTGACAAAACGTATAGTGGGATTCACAACTTCCGTAGTAAAAATGACCACTTATTCAATGGGTTTTGTAACTTGTTTTCAGGAGATGGGCAGCTTGTTTCTAAAAACTAATAAAATTTCATACTAAATTTGACAAAACACATAGTGAGATTTACAACTTTCGTAGTGAAAATGATCACTTCTTCAATGGGTTTTGTAACATGTTTTCAAGGGATTGGCAACTTGTTTCTAAAAACCAATAAAATTCTATGCTGAATTTTATAAAACATAGAGTAATATTTACAACTTTTGTAGTGAAAATTATCACTTCTTAAATGAATTTTGCAATTTCTTTTCAGGGGATGAGCAACTTGTTTCTAAAAATCAATAAAATTTCACGCTGAATTTGACAAAACACATAGTGAGATTTACAACTTTCATAATGAAAATGATCACTTCTTCAATGGGTTTTGTAACATGTTTTCAAGGGATTGGCAACTTGTTTATAAAAACCAATAAAATTATATGTTGAATTTTACAAAACATATAGTGAGATTTACAACTTTCTTAGTGAAAATGATCACTTCTTAAATGGGTTTTGCAACCTCTTTTTAGGGGATGAGCAACTTGTTTCTAAAAACCAATAAAATTTCACATTGAATTTTACAAAACACACAGTGAGATTTACAACTTTTATAGTGAAAATGACTACTTCTTAAATGGCTTTTGTAACCTGTTTTCAGGGGATAGGTAACTTGTTTCTAAAAACCAATAAAATTTCACGTTGAATTTTATAAAACATATGCTGGGATTTACAACTTTTGTGATAAAAGTGACCGCTTTGTTAATAGATTTTGCAATATATTTTCGGGGGATGAGTAACTTACTTTTCACCACCAATAAAATTTCACGCTGAATTTTACAAAACACATAATGGGATTTACAACTTTTATAGTGAAAGTGACCACTTCTTCAATGGGTTTTGTAAACCTGTTTTCACCGGAAGAGCAACTTGTAAGCATAAATAAATCATTCAGTGAACGTGCACCTGAAGTACATCACAATAAACATTGAACTATTAAGTTTCATAATTAACTACATGTATATTAAAATTTACCATTCACGGAATGGGATTTACCAAAAACCAGCAAACATATGACAGCAATTACATTACGTAATTGCTTGCGACTATTTTCTGATTTCTGCTTCATCATTCACCAAATACTGAATATGAACCCTCAAATGCAATAATCCTGTTCCTATTTCACCATGAAACAGCCACAAAAATGAATAATCCAAATCCCGCCATCAACTTCTACTCACTCATGAATAATTCAAATACTTCAACGACCTCTTCGACGACGACAATTTCAGGGGTACAAGTTATTTCAGACAGGGCAATGTATTTCGGCGATGGTAACCAAATTCAACGATGGCAATCTACTCCTACGACGACGGCAACGTGATTTCGAAAAATCCTTTTTGGTGACTGCAGGAACTTGGATTTAGTTTCGTAGAAGGAAATCAATTTCTCCCTTTCTCTATCGCATGAATACACTACTCAATGTTCAGAGACAATCAGGGCAATTCGGTCTTTTGGCCGAAAATCTATATTCCAAATTGGTACCCAGTGTCCTATTTGTCATTTTGGTTATTCAGGTCCCTTATTTGTCTTTTTGGAATTTAGGTGGTATTTTATTGTCATTTTCCCTAAAATTTTTCTTATTGGTGGAGGAAGTCATGTTTGAAGTATTGTCAAATACTAAATATAGATATATCTCTTAATAAGAATTTGAATTTTGATTCATCACATTAATTAACCTGGTTGCTGACAAATAATATATCTGGGTTGGAGGTAAAAGGGCCGTTGGTAGGCCTCAATCAATATCCAGTTCAGCCCATTACTATCTAATCCCAAGAGTAGTAATATTTAGGGCTCAAAGCCCATCAAAATTTTCTTTCAGCCCACAAGTTCACGCCATTACCACGTAAGAAACCTACCTTAAAAGTAAATTTGCCAATGCATGCTTTATGTTAGGCCCAAGGGGACATGGACACTACGTATTGATTTCAATCAATTCTTCTGATGCTCTGAGTTCGATTTCCATTACGAAAAAGATGTTTCGTTTTTCCAAGTCATGAAGATCCTGAATATATATCCCAAAAGCTTTCTCACCCCAAAAAAAAAAAAGAATAAGAAGAAGAAGAGAAAACAAAAAGTAATATCTCAAAAGTTAAATGTTAGGAACAAACATCCATCCCAACTTTATTTTTATCCATTCGATCTCGCTGGAAGCACACGAGGGGGACAGTGACCTGAAAACCTCCCTCTTTTTCTGAGAGCAGATAAGGAAAAGTAAGATGTTACTGTTAGAGTTTTCTCTTATTACGTAACTTGATAAAGGCGAGAAATCGATGGTATTGACTAATAATATCTGCAAAATTTGAATCCTCTAGAGCTCGGCTATGTTTGATGTGCATGAATATAAGACGATGTTGAGGAGAACAGTCTAGAGAATTCATGGCGAAAAAGGAGAGGCCAAACTGGTCAGAAAAACTGAGAAACCTTTTCAAGGAAGGCAGCCAAATGGGAGCGGGCAATTAAGTAGGCTTCTCATCTCATCATCTTCCAATTCCTCACGAACAAATGTCATGTAAACTCATTTCTCTCTCTTGCTCTCTCTAAAAGTAGACTTCATCATATATCCACTTTATACACACACACTCACACACTGTCCCTAATCAGCTCTCCTTTGCCTCATTTCTTTTCTATCAATATCTAAGGACCATGCATCCTTCTTTTTCCTCTCCCCCCCGCACGCGCTTACATATACTTGCCACAAGTCCTTTCAGTTTTTCACATAAAACTATTTAACTCATTTAACAAATTGAGAAAAGTCAAATAATTTAGTTAACTATAATACAATGTGATCTCTCCGAAACAGTATCATCATGTATAACATTAGATTATATATTAGTTTGTAAGCTGGGTAAATTATGATTTGGGAAGAAATGATAAATACAAATTAAATAAGGAGAATTGAGATATTTTATGTCGGATCAAATCCAATCCAACTCCTCAGTCAATCTCCTATATCCGATATGGGAGCCAGGATGGGGCATGATACTGGTATCAAATTATTATATTGAACTTCAGTTAATCTGAAACAAGTGCGGTGGGACTTTAACGGTGGATCCCAATCAATGAGTTGTACAATTGTCTGAATACAGATCACTGATGATATGAGCCCGCACATAACTTGTATAGCATCCCCATTACTGAATCTGAATAATTTTAATAAGATTTGCTCGCCCGTGTCTCTTCACAAACACCCACCCACTAATCACACAGACAACTTAATGCACCGACTCTGGGACAATTGGTCACTAAATGAAGTGCTTTATCGTGTTTAGAAATCTGTGTGTTTCTCTAGCAGAATAAAATGGAATGGCATATATATATGTATCTATATATATATTAATACTGTGTGTATGATGTAAACCTGCGGCTCTCTGCTGGCCACTGAATTGCTTCTGTGTAAGTAAATATGTCAAATATCCCATAATTAATGGATGCCATGCACTGCACCGAATATATTGGGGGATGGGGTGGAATCTCTGGTTCAATCAAAATCAAGTGACGCACAGAATATGATTCATTTTAATCCACAATTTCAATCCATTTTCCAAAGTCTATGCTTAGCTGCAAGAGAATCTATATAAATAAAGTGAGACGTATAATAAATGAAAAGGTTCTAGCATTCATCATATATAGATATTATATATTCATATCATGGCCGTATATACAAATTAATATCATCACACTATCGCAAAACTTTTGAGTTTCGTGTTTATATTTAACACAAGCTTTTGGCACGTATCAAACACAGAATCCTCTGTGAAAGTGACTGCTTGCTTTATTAAATGATCGAAATTACTTCTTTTTCCTTTCAGTTTCTCCTACCTTCAATTTTATTCTTTTTATTCCACCGCATTATAATTGCAATATATATTATGTATTCCAATGCCCACTGAACTTATCGTTCTTTTATAGTGTTTGTGTGCATGAGGAAATATTCTTCTCTCCATTCGGAAACCCACAGTTGGAGGAATATATATATATATATATATATATGTATATATGTATGTATCGGTATAAGAGTTCTTCCAAAGTGAAACATATATAACTAAGAAATGAAAGGAAAGAATCGTTTCAATATAATATAATATCGCATTACATATATATATAAGGAGTAGTTATTATTCTTTGGTGCAAGTTATTAAATTGCAGATAATTAACTTACGGACAATATATATGATCCTTTTCAAAGTTCTAAATTATTCTCCTAAATTATTCTCTCGAACTTAATCCGTAGAAATATACAAACATTACATATACGCCAATAATATTACCAGCATTAATTAATTAATAGCCATCAAAAGCCCTGATGGGTCCCTTCTGCTTTCTGCATTTTCCAAAATTCTGCAACTCAATATATCTATGTATTGATTCTGCTGTGTGCGCTAGCACGCATACATACATACATTACATACACACATATATCTTTAATCTTGTGTCACAGACATTTCACAGTGGGAACAGCTATTGAAAAACTAGCTATATCTTTCTTTCTCTGTTTCTATCGTTTCTCTCTTTTCTAGTAGCTTTTTTGGATTATTATATGCAAATGGGATAAGTGGATATGTTTTTGAGACTATTGTGGATATATATATAGAGATGAAACCGACTGCCCCTTGCAATTCGCTGAACTAATCATGGCTGCTTCTTTCTCTCGTTTAGCCGCCAGAAAGAGTCATATCAGGGGCTTGAATTATTCGTATACAGTCAATATAAGCCTTCTTTACTTTACAATATCTATATATATATATATATAAATATATATAGTGATCGAGAAGCAAATCACACTTAGCAGATTTAAATGAGTTTGATATCTAATGCATTAATTGCTTTGTCTAATAAGAGCGTCCTTATGCTTTACCCCCTCCACCACGCCTAACTCCATTCTCATTGTCTCTTGAAGTTGATTCTTATCTCTCACCTAATTTAGTTGCTATTGGGAAAAAAAACAAGGATACAAATCTAGATATATATATATATATATATATAATTTATACTACAATCTACTTAAATAATCCAATCACAGACTTGCTAAATATTTTTTCCGGAAAAAAAATGTCATTAAAATTTTTACGAGGAATAATTAACCAACTAACTAGGATTTACGGCTCAGCGCTCGATTACGACAAAAAGGCAGAGCCGCTAAAACTCACCACGACAACGACGTACTTAATCATCGCTGGCCACTAAAAATTTATCACCCAAATCATTTTTTTTGTTGGGACATAATGAAATTCGTCAAAATAAATAAATTAATAATAATAGTACTTGTCGTGATGAAGAGGTTGGGCGTGTAAATTTGGTGTATTCCCTGGGCATGCAAAGTCGTGGGATGGCATATTTGGCATTTCAAAAGGTAAGCTGGGTGGGAGACTCTTGAAAAAGATAAATTATTTTATGAACAGTTAGAGTTGCGTAAGTGTTCACGAAACTACCATAAAATATATATATATATATATATATATATATATATATGAAAATGTCTCATGAATTCGTGAGTTGTGACCAACAACAATGACAGCTTTCGACTCCTGACAACGTTCTTTGGTATCTTGTGCAAGGGAAAAAAAAAATTTGTGGCATTAACTCAATCACCTGTTTGAGTTTGAGTTGATTGAAGATTCTTCCTTCATTATTTTGCTTTTGTTTGTTTCCTTTCTTTCTTTCTTTTTGTAATTTAAAGATATTGACAAGTGCAAACGTCGTTGGAATAATCTCCAGAAATCTACCCCCTTCCACTTCCAGTCTCTTGGAAACTCTAGTTGGATTCCATTAATAATATCCCCTCCGATTCCTTTAGCGTTACATGATCTAGGGTTTGTATATGTTTGATTTTTAATATTTTCTTATTTTATGTAAATATTCTCAAAAAAAAAATTATTATTATTATTATATCATGATTCTCTAAAAACGCCTCAAATTCGAGATTTTCAGGCTTAATCTTCCGTTTACGAATTCCACTTATTGATCTCAACAAAATTACATATGCTAATAGTACTAATATAATTAACACTAACTTGTTCCAATCTTTATTGTAAAAAGAGGAAGAGAAATATTATATAAAGAAGCACGGCTTTTCATAAAAGCATGGCTAATTAATAACGTAAGATAGCATATGTTGTAGCCCTCATGTTTCCCTTGGGGATTTAATTAACACCACAAGATTTTTATAAAATATATATATATTGCACGTGCTACAAGTTTCTTGTGAAATATTGACGTGAATTCACCGTTAATTAAATTAGTCTTATGTTTTAACTAATTCACACATCATTTATTTCACAAATTGTATCATTAGATCAAAAACTTTTATCGTCAAAGCATCGTCATTCCAGCAAACATCAATATATATATATATATAGCAGTATAATAATACTAATATAAAATATATATAAAAATTAAGCTTTTATTGTGCGAGTAAATGTGATAGTGTGACTTGGCATTGAAAAGGAATATGATACAGTGTGGTAAAGGTCACATAACTTAAAAGTATAGAGTATATGGATAATTCAAAATTGAGCACGACCTTTTTCTAGATAATGGACTTTTCGTGGACAAACATGGGTGGTCTGGAAACTTTTTTCCAGCACGTGCTTATAATTCTAATTTCATTAATGGAATTTAAACTCCTAAAGAAATAATATTTTGTTGTGAGTTGAAATTTTATGGTTGTATTAAATGAATCCCACGGTGAGCTCACTCACCTTGCTCATATTCCTATGTCTGCCGTCTCGTTTTGACCCAAACGGGAGCTTCCAGGAAATTGCTTCGGCAGCTTTGCCTTTAAACAAAGCTGTAATTTTGTTTACTTGTTAATTTTGCTTTTCTCTTCTTCTTCTTCGTGTTTTTTCTTTTTCACTTTTGCTCAGGATTTTTTTTTTTGCAAAAAAAGAACAGACCTGTTTTTCTTTTCAGACAAGTGGAACCCCACTTGCGAGGCAAGAAAAATTGTGTTGTGTTATTTGATTACATTGTTTGATTTATATATATAATTAGTGTAAAATAAAACAGATAAAAACTATCAAGTAATATATATATATATATATAAGTAAATTAAAGTTTTATTTAAATGTCTTGATTTCTAAATTATATGGGAAATTTTATTCTGGTGACTGGCTTCGATTGTGTTTTTTAAACCATGAGAGAAAATTGTTGTTATTATTATATTAAAGGAGAAATGGAGAAACAGAAGAATAAAAAAGAAAAAGAAAAAAGGAGAGTAACTGTCATGGAATTAATTTGCAAACTATCAAAGTAATAGGAGTTGAGTTGTTTAATAAAGGTTTAAATTATGAAAATAACGCGGCAGGATGGTCCCCATATTATAGCATTATATTGCCTTATAATTCAGCTCCTTGTCTTCTCTGGTTTTGGTGCAATCTCATCCTTCCGATTATATTTTCACAACAGGATCAGCTTCGATTTAATTTCAATCCAGGTGCTTGTTCTCAGTAATCTATCCATCCATATAGTGATTTTCTAATTCAATTATATATGTCACATCAAATTTGAGCTAACCTACTTTTTCAAGTGGGTTGGTGGGTTTAAAAAAAAAAAGTGACCAAAAAAGAGTCAATGTTAAACAAGGCATATAACCCACATGTTGGCATGTTTGACATCCGAATTTAAAAGAAAAAAAATTCTCTTGGTTTTTGAACGTGAATGGTAATATGTTTCTTTATTTGTTAAATTAAACATGTAGAAATATTAATATAAAGCATATTATGTTTTCTTATAAGAATTGAAACCATACGGTGCAAATTATGGAAATGCGTCTGGTTTTAAAGTGGGTTGTGTAAATTATATCGGCTGGTTTTACGCATTTAAAAAAATATTGTACTCCTCCGATCCTTAATATAAGACCCATTTAACTAATTTGATTAGATTAAGGAAGTTGGGTAAGTTAGTTAATTATAAGAAATGTGACACGTTTTTCCTAAAATACCATAATCATCTTTTTTAATACCCCATCTTCCTCTTCTACTTGATTATGGTTGAGGGAGTATCTATAAGGGTAATTTAGAGAAAATTGAAAAATATGATAAATGGGTCTTATATTTAGGACCAAAACCAATTCAATAATTGGGTCTTATATTAAGGACCGGAGGAGTACCTTATATGAAAAATATGCCTAGCTCTTGTGAGCCTACCAGTCTATGGAACAGGGCACGTGCGATCTGACTCACATGGAATTGACTGATACATCCCCTGAACCCGAATTTTCTATTTGATTCGAGGGAAATAAAAAGAGGCAAGACCGTGGGATATTTTAATAAGTTTGATTTAAAATAAATATGTATAAATAGGATTACGATTATAACTTGATTTTTTTTCTATTTTTTAAAATTAAATCCATCATAACTTTTCCTGTCCGCTTCTCTATTTTATTTCAGGGGAAATGTTTTGAAATAAATAAATCAGACTTCAAAATATATAAGCTAACGTAGCGGCAAACAAGGCCGGAGAGTCCACAGGCGCAGTGAACTTTTGGGAGATAGATAAATGAGAGACACACACAGCAAACACGTGTTTGGGTGTCGTACCTGTTTCCCCATTTTTTTAAAAAAATAATAATTCAATTCATTATTATTTATGAGGAGAATAGTAGACGATCACTTGCGCACCCTCCCCCTCCCATTCACTTGTCCCTTTCCTCTGCTGCTTCTTAATTATGTATTTTGGACTTTTCCCTCTTTCAAATCCAGTATTTAGTATTTACTCGCTTATAAATACCCGTATATTCATGTTATGACGTATATTCCTTCAAAAAATTATCAATGTAAAACCGGCCATAAAGGACAAGTTTTCTAATTTTTACTTATCATTTAAAATCTTTTACACATTAAATTAACAAATTTTCATAAAATAAACTTAAAGATTACTAAATTCCGGATCTGAAATTCTTATAAAAAAATATGTTAAATGTAGGAAATAATTATAATTTGAGTTTTACTAAATTTTCATATTTCTTTTGTAAAATTTAATAAACACACCCACGGATCATAAATCATAACCTATCCAAGTTCCATGCACAACTAGTATTTTAATTAGCTCAAGACCTTCATCTTCTCAATCATTCACGTCTCAGAAGCAAGCAATCTCTGAATTTTCTACCATCTTCATTTCCAGTCAAATCAGATGACTGATCTCAGCAAAGAGCATAAAAAACTCAAAAAAACTTAAAAATACATTTAGAGAGAGAATTTGACAGAGAAAATCATAGGTACTATTATAACCGAACATAGGAGACCCACAACAACAATAGTGGCTGGACTCATTACCCTAGACATTACATCACTCTTGACAATACCTGCCCCTCCTACATTAACCAGTACTTACCTAAAGATTTAACACCACACAGTACAACAAAAGGCACACACATACACACACAAACACAATAAAAAATGATATGGTGTTCGAGTGTGATTTGACCCCGGATCACCCATAATATTACAATTCCAGTTTCAGGTTCCACTGCTGAAATTTTTATTCCTTAATTATCTTTTTTTTTTTTTACCCTGACTGACTCAAATCTACAGCAACCTAATTAACAATCCCATCGTCTTTAAATCTCTGTAAAGTCCGGTTGTCTTTTAACAGTACTGGAACATGTCAGGAGAAGCCATGATCGGGTGGTTCAGGCAGGTGGCCATGTTTAATGGGCTGTTGAAGAAGAAGCTGTTGGTGGATTCCATGAAGGTGGATGATGATGATGAGTTTGAAGCTGCAAAAACTGCAGAACTTGTGTTGACGAAATCCACAATTTCGTTCAGAGATTGCAATCTGTGGGTCAGCTCGTTCATTTGGGCTCTGAGCACAGAATTCTCAGCCTCGACGGTGAGATATTGTTGGGTTGTGAGGTTTACGCTTGTGAGAATCTGATGATTCTCCTTCCTGAGCTGAGACACCTGAGCCGCCAGATCATCCAGATGCTTCTGTTTTCTCATTCTCGATCTTCTCGCCGATTCACGATTCGATATCATCCTCTTTCTCTTCCTCTGATCCATCAAGACCTGCAAATCCTCATCTGAACCAGAGTTTCGAACCAGGGATGATGACCCGGAAGACGTTCCACTAGAAGAAGCCATGGGATTCGAAAGAAGGAAGACCAAAAGAAGACGGACACTACTATTTTTGACGCAGGACCCGTACACTAAGAAACACACAAACCCAGAAAAACCAATGCAGAAAATAGTAATATATATGACTAATCCTGATCAACTAAGAGGCTCAAACAATCATGAGACGTAGTACAGCCAGTAGAGGAAGGCAACCGAGAAAGATTGAACAAGGTGGGTCCTGCGCCTGACAGTAGAATTTATCATACAACCACAAAGGAAGATTTCACTGAGAATCGGATACATGAATCTCAAACATCAAGAACATAAAATTGGGCATTTAAGACAGGCTTCTGAAAATCTACCAGAGAAAGAAAAAAACAGACGGCGACGACTTTCCTGTTCCACCAGATCCAACAATCAAATCCACCATAGAAAGGGAGGATCCGATACGTGGGCTATGGGTTTTTCTCGGAGGCTGAATCGAGGAGAGAAGAAAAGGGAAGCTTTGGGAAGGATTTAGGGGTGGCTTTGCCAGAAGAGTCTGGAGAAATAGGGGTCTGAGGAAGAATAGGACGGAAGGAGAATTTGTGGAAGAAATGGGAGAGGACGGAGGGACCAGAAGCGAAATAAGAAAATATCCGCAACTGATTATCTTGAAAGTGTGATTAGAAACAAGGCCTAAAAGGAAGAGGAGGGAGGGAAGTGAGCGTGGTTGAAGCGTCGAATTTATAGAACGAAAAAAGCCAACTTGATCACAAGTACAGTTTTATTGGTTATTATTTAATTCCCATATGAGGTGCCACGTCTTTCTTTTTCTCCAAAATAGAATTGGAATCTTTTCTTCCACAACGATAAAATATTACTTTCAACAAATCTATAATCACCTCAAATTTCAAATTACAAAAAGTGATATATATATATATATATAAAGGTTATGTAAAAAGTACGTGATAAATTAGGCGCGTCGTAAAAAATGAAATTCCTCCAGTCTTGAAAATATGTAGTAGCTAATTAAATTAAATAATTTTTATCTAAATATAAGAATTCAATTTTTTTCAAACTTTTGTTAAATGTCAGCGTCCAATTGAAGACACATAATTAAGAGTGGTCGTTTCTATAAAAATGACTGAAATAATGTATTTTAAAAAGACGTATATGGTACTCACAGGAAGCTTGTTCAGAGAGCTTTATGCGATTTCCTGCATCAGAAATAATTAGCTATCACTCTTACAGAAGATTACAAAACAAGCATTCAGAAGGGTCCAGATACAGCTGTGAACCAAACATATATATATATAACAACAAAACTCGCCCCACTATTTGTGATCATTCTTTTTCTTTTTCTTTTTTTTTTTTCACTTGTATGCTTTTGAATGACCAAATTCATAAAATTAGTTTTATTTTTTTGAAATACTCCTTCGGTTCTTAATATAGGACCCAATTGGTGAGTTGGTTTTGATTCTAAATATAAGACCCATTTATCATATTTATCAATTTTCTCTAAATTATCCCTATGGATACTCCTTCAACCATAATCAAGTAGAAGAGGGAGATGGGGTATTAAGAAAGATGATTATGGTATTTTAGGAAAAACGTGTCATATTTCTTATAATTAACTAACGTACCTAACTTCCTTAATCTAATCAAATTAGTTAAATGGGTCTTATATTAAGGACCGGAGGAGTAGTTAATTTACCTAACACGTTTGATATTTCTATGCTTCTGATTTGTTGATGGGAACATTTTCCAGCGTTGGAGGGGAAGTTGAGAAAACATTTCGCATGCGAGCTACAATTTGATAGCGATCGTAGTTTTTGCGTGGTCTAATATTATTAATTTTCACATTGCGCTCTTTAACATGGTCATGTGTTGAAGGGTAAATTGGTCCTAAAGTTTCAGTGGGAGCAAGGTGCCATCCTTTTATCCATTTTTTTTTTAAACGAGAGAAAACAAACCAATTATTATTTTTTATACTAAAACTTGTTATTGCATATTCTCCCGTTGTGAGCGGATTTCAAAGCAATTATGAGACCTAATTACCATTCTCCTTTTTTTCCCTTATTATTCAACATTCGATCTTGTTAACGAGGAGCATAAAATCCATTATATCTGAACTCGTTTAGGGCCTCTCACTCTACTTCAGTTGATCAATCACTAACAGTATAAAATACTTCTCTAGTCTAATTCTTAATATTAAAGATATTAATCAAATTAGTTAATATGATATTTTTTTAAATACTCTAATCATGTTCCTAAATTCTCTTCTTTCCTTTTCTTTTTTTGACCAGACTCTTTTTTTCTTTTCTATTTGATTATTATTGAGAGAATATTAATAAAATTGATTGAGAAGAAAATTAATAAACATATAAAATATGTCTTATATATAAAATTAATATTAACTTTCAAATTAATTCATACATTAAATACACGAGTTTTCTGGTCCAAAAAAGTTAAATGCATGAGTTCACGTTTAGTTTGCTCTACACTATATATAATATGAATAACGTTTAGTTAAGGTTATACATGTAATTAACGACGAAAAGACATGCAATGATACGGTCTGATTAATCAAGAGCACAGACGGATCAATAGCTATTTTCCAATATTATTATAAAGCCGGAAAAGTATTCAACTTTTTTAAAGGAAATTTTTAAAATAAGAGCTTGTTAAAAAGAACTCATAAATAATAAAGAAGATTTGGAAACCTCTGTCTCTCTCTCTCTGTTTTTTTTTTGGCCTTGAAACTTTGTGTCTCTCTGACCATTAGGTATGCGCACGCTGAGGGAAGAGGACGCTGAGAGTATCCTCTTCCATGATTTGGGATTTTCTGCGAGCTTCAAGTGATAGTTGCTCCGCTTGCTCATTTGCTTGTCTCAATAAATATAGTTTATGTTTTAAATTTAAATTTTTTATTATTATTTGCTTTCAATAATAATATTATGGTTAGATGAAGAGCATTAAATAGAAGATTTAATATTAAAAATAGCATAACACTAAATAGAGAATAAAATTATAAAAAATAATTCTTACTTTGTGCATATACATATATTCCTCCCGATTAAAAATAAGTTTCTTTCCGTCAAAATAAAAAATAGTAGTAGTAGTAGTTAACCCGTTAAATTTGATCTGCATTAAGACAAATCTTTTAATTTTGTCCTTGTTCAAATCAAATCTACATCACATATCTTTTTTCTTTCTTTCTGTCAAATATATGTGTCGCTAATAAATTGAGATGAAATTAGAGATTGGTAGTTGAGTAACTTTCTAAACGAATGAGTTATATTCCACAATTTTTTCCCAAAGAATCCCCCAAAATCAGAGATTGTTAGTGAAGTAACTTTCTAAACGAATGAGTTATATTCTACAATTTTTTTCCCAAAGAATCCCCCAAGTAAATAAAAATGGAGGAGTCTAGGAGTTTGTTTAATTAGAATAGCTTATAAACAACTTTTCAAGTTATAAAATATGAAGTGCTCCTCCGGTCCTTAATATAAGACTCAATTCTTGAGTTAGTTTTGATCATAAATATAAGACTTATTTCTCATATTTATCAATTTTCTCTAAATTACTCCTATGGATACTCCCTCAACCATAATCAAGTAGAAGAGGGAGAGGGGTATTAAGAAAGATGATTATGGTGTTTTAGGAAAAATGTGTCGCATTTCTTATAATTAACTAACTCACCTAACTTCATTAATCTAATCAAATTAGTTAAATGAGTCTTACATTAAAGATCGGAGGAGTAATTGTATGGGAAAAATTTTATGTAAAAATGCTTACAAACACCCGTGGACAGCTGATTCAAACAAGTAACTTGTACAACATTAATTTATGGTCAAAACAAGATCAATTGAATCATCAAATGTTTTAGCAGATCATGTTATTGACGAAAGACTTGTCACTTATATATTCATACTAATTAAGCATTTCGATATTAATTTCAGATATACTTCCTTTATCTCTAATTATAAGATTGTCTTTTTAAATGAATTTTTCCCTTTTTATAAGGTCCCATTTGAGTTTGTCTAAACATTTAATACATTGTTACCTATTTTACCCCTAATAAATTTCATATATTACATTCTCTATTTATCTCATTATTACTCTCTTATATTTATTAGGAGTATATTTGGAAAAAAAACTTATACTTGTTACATATGAATTATTTTTAACTAATTTTAACTGTTTTCTTAAAAAGTATAATTAAGCTAAAATATTCTTATAATTAGGGACAAAGTAGTAAATTTCACAGAACTGCACCAATCTCGCAGTGGTTTTTTTTTTTTTTTTAATGTAGTTTATTTTTGTTTTACTTCCATACGTGATGGCTGTTTTGTGGATGGGACTGAGTAGCTGTAGCAATTATCAACCGACTGTACGGAATAGTAGCCGCCCACCCTACTTTTATTTTTCACCATCAGTGACTCCCTTGAGGGACAGGAAAAGCCATGCATTTATGCCTCACCCGCTCCTGATGTACACTCCCTCCATTTTTAAAATTGGTAATTTGCATCCACCTACGCAAAATATTTTTTCAAATATATTTAGTATCTGAAAATATTTTTTAAAATATGTCTAGTATTTTAAAATATGTTTTTATCTTGATATTAGATGTATCAAAAATATTTTTAGGCACCGGACACAATTAAAAAAAGATATTTTAAAGTACTGAATATGCAAAAAAATATTTCAAAATGCTGAATGTACCATAAAATACCCATTATTTAAAAAAAATTTTAGGATGTTGAATACAGCTTATCCTTTAAAATTTTATTGAAGGAATAAAAATAATATGATTTTAATGTGTATTTTATATTTTATACTCACAACTGATTTTACTGCATATTAGATTATAAATTGAAATGTGAAGTATTGTAATTTTAAATAAGTTGACCTTTAAATTAATAGTACAAAAATATTTTAGTATGATTTTTGAATTATTACTTCCAAATGAAAAGAAAAATCTGGTGACATGAGGAGCCAAGTAGAGCCGGAAAAATGGGTTGAGCCCGTCGGGCTAGCCCGTTTAGATTCTGAAATTATAAGGGTTAGGCTTGATATTTTTCCCTTTAAATGAAAAATAAGCCCTGGAGGGCTTAAAAGGGCCTTTTATTTTTTTTGTTTTTAAATTTTTTTAATATAATTCTAATGTTATTAATTTTTTACATTGTTAATAATATTTTAAATATTTAGTTATTATTATCATTTTAAAATTAAATTTAGTGTTAGACAATAATTTATCTAATTAAATTTTTAAAAAATAGGTTAATTTGGATTTTAATAATGATTTGATTTATATTATATGCGTTGATATTTTTAAACTATATATGTATATTTGATAATAGAGTATTTTTATACTTATATAACTTGTGATTCTATAATTTGAATTAGAAATTTATGAGTTTCAACAACATTGTTTCTCGCATTAAAGTAAAATAATAACTAGATTGTAAAATTTAAAAGTAAAATTCCTATAAAGAAGAAAAACTTGATATTTTTGTTACGAAAGAAAAGTATATTTATGAAGAAAAGTAATTAATTATAGTGATGATGAAGTTTCAAAGATTAATGATAGTATTTATTTATTGCACAAGTGTACTATAAATAAAACTTTTGAATGTTGTTATCTTGTTAATGAATATTTTAGATGTTTTTAGATGTTGATAAATATTTATATATAATGATATTTTATA